CTCCAGTTAGAGTAATGAGTTGGTGTCTTATAATGAGTTGTGTCCCTTTAATGTTATGACGGAGAATTATTCTTTTTCTTAGTTATATGTACTAATCATTAAACACATGAAATGATAATTAATCAACTGGAATTTGTAAGTACAATTAAAAAACTAAATGTGACAGACCAGATAGTAGTTAGTACTTATTCTAGAAATCAGTTAGATCAACCTGTGTGTCCTGCCTAAAGATACGGCACAAATCAAAATATTTGCCATTTACATTGGTTGGTTACAGTTTTCTGTATTAGATCTAGATTATTCAGACTTTAATGCTCAGTTCACTTTTACCTAAGGCAAATTTAGCATATTTGCAGCTGTTATGGTAACTTAAAATAGGTAGAAATCAGATGACTTCCCATGGGATGTCCTGGCCAGGTGGTCCCCTGATCTACATTAGACAAGTGTTATGTTACCTCCAATTAGAGTACTCTACTGTTTGAACCTGTGTTGAGTTACATGGCACAGTGAACTCTTTGACCAACATTTTACTTATAGGTCAAAAGGTTGTACATGTTTGACAACTATTGGTTCATACAATCCAATGAGCTATGTTTAACCAACACTGGCCTGGTAAAATAATTTTTGCAATATATATGTTGAATTACCTTTATAAAATACAGTGTACGGATGTTTCTGGTCAAAGAATCTATTTTTAGAACACCTGAAACAAAACTAGTGTGGTTTGGCTTGTTGAGCAATGCTTGACCTGTGTTTTCCTCTACCTGTTTTTTTTTTCGTTTAACTGTACACAGGTATGCCAGTTGTGTTTTATCCGTAAGCAGAGACAGATGTTTATATACTTAATTTTGATGCATCATTGTGTCTGGTCACTCCAGTAAATGGACTTGTCATTTGTTGATAACAATTATTATGAATAAATAATTACCATATAACAAATTAATGTTTTTCTATTTATTAGCCCACTATGATGATGGTGGGCTATTCAAATCGCTCTACGTCCATGGTCTGTCTTAAATTTGTCTATCTGTCCATCTAAATTTGGGTAAGAAAAACAAAGTGACTTAAGAAGTAAAGGATGGATCTCTCTTTAATTTCATATGTAGATTCCCTTTAGTCCCTAGTTGTGCCCATTTGATATCGGGTCTGATCAAAGAAACTAAATGGCTCACTAGCGGCCATCTCAGATTTTGACTTTGAAAGTTTGTTATCACTATATCTTGAGAAATACTCTATAGATCTTTCTCAAAATTCGTGTATAGGTTCCTTTAAATCCTTAGTTGTGACTTTGGGACTGACCAGAAAAACAAAATGGCCTATAGTCAGCCATCTTGGATTTTGCCTTGTAAAGATTGTTATTGCTATTTATTAAGTAGAACTGAATGGATATCTCTCAAATTTCACATGTATGTTCCCTTTAGTCACTCCTTGTGCTCGTTTGATTTTGGGACTGATTAGAAAAACAAAATGGCAGACAGGTGGCCATTTTGAATTTGGCAGGTAAAGATTATCATCTATTTCTGCCAAGGAATGTTCAAATATCTTATCGTTAAGGTCAAAAACAGAGAAAAGAAGGGAAAAGTTCCAACTATCTAGAACATCTAAAGATCAAACAGTGGTGGGTGTCAGGATCCCTCTGAGATCTCTTGCATTTTTCTCTTCTGACAGGAAGTGAAGGTTACTGTTTAAATTTAGATAAGATTCTCACATTCTTTTTAGGTTACTTGGTTATTTTACTTTGTTCATTAGGCGATACTAACATTGATTCACTATTTTGAAGGTCATAAATATGTAATGAATAGTGGAGTCTGATTGTTTATACAGAAAGAAATATGTTTTACAACATACATTTTCTTAAGTTTATCTCAATGGACTTCCAGGTGGCAATATATGCCTTAAAGTCAATGGCAAGGATGTCAGAAAGGCAAGTGAGCTTATATTTTGGCAGGTGCCCAGAAGTTCTGCCAACTTTTTCCTTTACATAATTCTCAATCAGGAAAGGATGCAGGGTCATTATATTGGTCTAGTAGCATGAATGAAGGGCTAACAATTTTGTTCAAATTAATAAATTTGACCCATTTTCAGGGTCACATGAATCTGATGTGGTAACATGTTTAAACAGGGTCTTCTACATAACCAAATAATGCAAGGTCATGACAATTAGTTTGAGGAATGCTGACGAGAAGGGCTACCAAGTTCGTTCAACTGAATGACCTTGAACTATTTTCAAAACTGCTTTGAATAACTTCTCAATTACCAAAATAATCAGGGTCATGATATCGGGCTTTGGTATGCATGCTAAAATTAATTGACAGGCTTTCATGGTCAGTGAGATAAAATGTGATTATTTTATGTAACAATTATTCTCAGTAACCTGGTCTGGTGTGTATGATATTCGGCCTGTGGTATGCTGGAAGGATGCACTGCAAAGTATCCTCAAGATAACTTCGACCCTTTCACAGGATCACAAGTGTCCTGTCAAATGTCTAAAAAATATTTTAAGTCAAAAACTGAAAGTGGCAATCTGTGATGAAATGCAGCGTCACATTGGTCAAATGAGTTAGATCATTAATCAACTTCTCAAAAAAATGGTAGAAGAAAACGACCTTCACATTGACCAAATTACTCACCACATTGATTATAATGTCAATTTGAATTCATGAAATATATCCCCTACCAGGGAGGCGCTTTGTGTGAGAAAATCAAAACACTCTCGTGTCAGTATGTGTTTTCCTCACTCACTCGAGCACCAATATAAAAAAAAAACACCTCCTTGTCATGAACAAGCTTACGATAATGATATACGCAACAGAAGCTTGAACCGAAAATGTCTGCCATCTCGTCAATCTCCTGTCACCTCCCACCTCCTACCGTCAGAGAATCAGTAAATGGGGTCACAACAATACTACTAAATCTAGCCACTGGTATTAATGATGAAATAAAATTATGTAAATAACATCATTTTAGTGATGTAAGAAAGAAACATCGTATAAATTTTAATAAGCTGACACAGCTGTTACTGTATTCGTTGCGACTCTTGTGATATTTGGTACCATAAGGATTGCTTGGTCTGGGACACCTTAGTGTACCAGGGTTTACGTAAGGTATCTTGGAATTGCGACCAATACCGTCTCACAAATTTCTCGTCATGTATATATTTTGAAATTCTATCTTTATAACCACAAACAGATATGGTTATATTAACGAATCCTCCTTAGGCCTAGATAGTGATCATACTGGCAGTTCAATAACTTCTTCCTCTCCAAAACTGGTTCCACCAAACTCAAGAAACATAACAGTCAATGAAAAAATAAAGTGCCATTAAGAATCACAATAGTAAATTGTCAGTCTATTGAGAAAACAAAATGCTGATTTTGAAAAACTTTTAGAAACTTCTTATTCAGATACTGTTACTAACATAGTATGATATGAATCCTGGCAACATAGCGACATCAAACCATCCTAAGTATTCCGTGGAGGATGACTCCATACAGGAAACACAGGACTACTGATGGCCACAGAGGCATATTTATCTTCGTCTTTGATCGGTATTTATGTTCTGAAAGCTTTTAAACAACATATATCCTTCTAAGACAACTGGTTCTGACAATATTCCCGGATGCGTTCTTAAAACTTTTTCTGTCGAACTTGCCTTAATACTCACTTTGATCATAAAAGGTCCTAACAAAGTGGGGAGATTTCCACTGAATGGCGGCAAGCAAACGTAACCCCAATCTTTAAAAAAGGGCGATAAATACTTACCTAATAACTACCGATCAGTGTCTCTCACTTGTATTTGCTGCAAAATCCCCAAACATATTGTTATTTCTAATACCATAAATCACCTAGGCAACTATGGTTTACCTGGAGATACCTAGAACTGGGTCTCCTCATGTATAGTAGAACTCAGCAAGTTGTTTTTGGTGGAGAGGTATCTAGCTGGTCAATTGCAAGTAGACAGTGATGTGCCACAAGGCTAAGTCTTTGGTCCTCTGCTTTTCTTTCTTTGTATAGACAGAATACTTTCCTCTGTTTCCTGAAAAACTAGACTCGTTGCAGATGAGCGTAGCATCAACAGTCCTTAAGGCTCCCAAATCCTCCAAACATATATCAATAATCTTGCTCAGTGGGAGCAGTCAATGGGAATGGTGTTCCATATAAGGTAAATCTGCATCGCTATCAGTCACCCGTTCTAGATCTCCATATAAATTATCATACAGTTTAAAATGTCACACACTTGAAAACTCAAAATACGCAAAATGTCTGGGAGTCAGTTTGGCATACAAATTCAGCTAGGATAGACAAATAGACACGCTAACATCAAAATCGAACCAAATGTTAGGTTCCCTGCGTTATAACCTGATGATTTATCATGAAAACACTAGAGGGAATACATATCTGGCACTTACCAGATGAGATTTTTAATATTGTGCCTCAGAATGGTTAGCAGATACCGTGAGAAAAAAAAACAGGACAAATTAGAACGAATACAGAAAAGAGCAGCCCGCTACATCACCAACAGACAACATAACACTAAGAGCGTGTCAGATGTGTTACATCTCGGCCTTGAATCTCTCGAAAAACGAAAAAATACCATCAGATTAACTATGCTACACAAGATACATAATGATCTGTTCCTGTTTATTTAATTAGTGTACAGTCATTTAATCTCCCTAATTCTTAATACTTTATTAGTCTGTTCACGCCGTTGTAGAAACATAAATTTTGATGGACACGTAAATGTAGATGTATTTAGGAGGTATTTGACCACTTGTCTTCGGCGCATATTTTTCTTCTTGCTTGTCCTTCTACTTGTAAATATACAACAAAATTCAAACATTTAGCATATACCAGGGACGTATGTAGATTTGAGTAAATATAGCTAATTGATTAGTGGAACGCTACCTATTTTTATGTGACATACGGAGTCATTTCCCTTGGGTGTTTCCGGTAAGAAGAAGGAAGTGTTGGTCTGCTGGAGACACACCTCATCATGCGATTATGACACTACTGTAGAAGATATCGACATTGAGACATGGGGAACTGTATAGGGAGGTGCTTCGGCATTTCCAGGAAAAAGTAAATTGCATAAGCATCTTTTGTAAATATCATAATTTTTGTCACGTTGCAGCATGACATCGTGTCACGTCATGTGACTAGTTTGTTGATGTTTGAGGTCCCGATCATGTTGTCATGTTTCTTACAATTTCTTGTATTTCCCTTTGGTTGCAAAACACAAAACTCGCCGATCGATTCTGATTAGTACACTTGTTTACATGCCCTGTTCTGTTTTCATTTATCTTACCTTATCGATAATTTTATAATGATAAGATTTATACAAATCTTCAGTTCTGTTGGTTGTCCCATGTTCTTATATATATATTCTGCTTATTAATAGCAGGGACGTATAATACTATGTATTGTACGTCCCTGTTTTTTAATATTAAGGAAATATTTTTGTTAGACGTTTCAGCAGTACATGTTCTATGTGTTACGCTGTTTTAATATGAGTTGGGCAGTGTCAGGAAAGAGCCTTTATTGCAACAATGACATTCTCAGTTGAAAGTATCAGGGAAGTATAATACTGTATTATACGTCCCTGAAAGTATCAAGAAAATATATAAATCTTGGTTAGCTGGCTATTATTTCATGAAATAAAGAAAATTTCATGTGCTACAGCGAGTGATCGGTCATGCAAGTGTTGTGATGTTGACTTTTTGTGCTCTTGTCGATAGATTGTGACGTCATAATATAAGTTGGCATTATACATCAGGAAATTGGAGGAATATAGAAATTTTAATTTATTCCAGTTTCATTTAAAATCATCTTTATGTTTAAGTAAAAATCAATAGTAAGTAAAACAAATAAAGGAACATGGATATACTGTTATAGTATTTTAATTAACATAAGCCATGGGTAAAATGCAGAGCATCTGTGTCCTTCACTCTCAGATGTTCCATGCATTTCACTTCTGTAAGAATTTTTCTCAGGTGAATCAATTCCTGGGACTTTTCTAACTAGACGTGAACAAAATATCGTCTTGCACATGTTACGGGTATAGAGCTTCACTCATGCACATTCAGTGCCAGAAGAACTTCGCTCTTATGATTAAGCAAATAGGATGGGTTAACGAAAAATGTCCTGCTGATTGTGGTTGATTAAGCGATTCTCTGTCTTTTAAAGAAAACACGTTTCCACTAGCTAGGCCAATGAGTAATTCCCACATGTCAAGACTAGTAAGCCTAAAGGTGACTTGTACCTTCTCCAATACTACACCTACCTTGAAAATTCTTCCTCCTCAGAGACTGGCACAACCCATTTTCTTATATATTTCCAAGGATGCAGAAACAACGCACTACCCTAAAGCTTTTCTTGAGTACATGAAAACTGTATAGTAACAGTTTAAAATGGAACATCTTGATCTGATTGAAGCTGTTCAACAGAGGGCAACTAAACTAAACCTGGTATTGTCCTAGCAAATAGGAAATGTTGTTTTTATCAAATAGACCGAAAAGGTTAAGATTAAGTCTAAAAAGGCTTAGATTGTCAACACTTGCCTAAAGAAGGATCAGGGAAGATGAGATTGAGGTATTTAAGATAACAAGCAAAATCTGCAATAATGCAAATGCACCTTTTCTTATATTCTGGAATGACATGGTGAAAGACAGGTGACAAGGACATTCCAAAAAGCTATATTCGCAGCATTGTAAACTAGTTATTGAGAACAATTTTTGTAGTCTGCATTAAGCACATAATATGGACCAACCTCCCTGAACAAGTAATCTTGGCACCAACAGTAAGCTCTTTCAAATTAGATTAGATAAGTGATGGAAAAATCAAGACCTTCTATATGAAGAGATATAAATTCAAAATTTATCAGGAATTGGAACTATTGTTTTATTAAATTTATTTATTGTATTATTATTATTGTATATCTGGTGTAGAGGATCTGAAATGACATTGTACTGGTGTGAATGATCTAGGAATGTTGAAAAATGTCAAACCTCTGCTCGGACTTGAACTTGAGACCTCTTGCTCACAAGGCAAACACCACATCATTTGACTGAAAGGAAATTACCACCAGTACACCCTGTAAATTTTGACTTGGAAAAGTAGATATTTAAATAAATAAGAAAACAAAAATTGATTCAATTAACACTGTCGGCCATTGTTTTTCTTTTCTACATTTAATCCTTATGGATGGCTAATTAATGATAAGATTTTTTCTTAATTTTACTTTTTAAATTCAAAATACTTCAAGCTTTTGTCTAAATATTTGAAATTTTAAGTGAACATCTTTGTAGTGATTGATTACAAGTCTATTTGATGAATCTCTTATTTCTGTTTATAGACGAAAGTACCTGAAGACAAGATACAGTGTGGAAAGAGATATTTCTGTAGAGGTAAGTTTATTGATTAATTTCATAATTGATTACTTTTTAATTTTTGTAGTTAGAAATTTGTATTTGAAGACAATTTCTGATTTTCGTTTGCTACATTATTTGATAAGTTATTGAGAGACAAAAATCAGTCAGCTTCATCATGAAATTAAGCGATTGAAACTTGGCCAGTCTATCAGAGTCTGGTCTAGGTGGTTTGGTTATTCTTATAGATATTTTCTGCACAAATCACTCAGTTTTTTTATCACTGCAGGAGGCAGTTTAAAATGACCTTAATTATCTGTCAATAAGCCATGTTGTCTTGTAATAAGATCATCCTGTTATATCCTGTTTTCCTTTGGAAACTAGCTTTCGTACAGTAGAGGAATTGCAATGTCACCATTTGATATTCTAAGATGTACACCCACAAAGTCTTGTCTCATATGTAAGTAGCCTCATTGTGAATTAAAGCTAGGGCTGGAAGAAGAGATAACAGTAAGCACTGTAGTATGCAGTTTGATCTAAATGTCTGTTAGAATATCCTAAGTATTATTCTAAGTGATAATTAATACCTCTACAATAACTGGTTTAGATATAGCCACCTTGTGTAAAATATAAGTACATAATACGAAACAGCTTTTGGTTTTTTTTCTTGTTTGTGTATTATCAGATTGTTGTACACTATTATGGGAGTGTTAAGGTTGAGGTTAGGACAGCAATTAACTGAAATTTTATTTGAATTATCAAAAGTTGAAAAATTTGTATTTCTGTGTGGAGTTATTTCCCTTGGATCAGTGAGTCTTGGGTGTAGTACATGAATTTTGATAATCTGCTAAAAATATGCCACAGATCATATACTTTATTGTTTATCTGACAATTACATTTATTGAAGTTTTTTAAGACATTCTTGTCCTGTGATAAGCCCACCTTTTTTTTGTTGAAATTTTGAGTTGACTCCATCAGTGTATAGAAGAGATGATATGGATGACACATTACATACACAAATCAATTTGAATTTGTAGCATTGATTGATACTTTGTTGGTATGAAAATTTAGATCGCAACCGACATCTTCATCCTTGTATCAAAAGGATAAATATTAAGTTAAGGAAAATTCAAGAAAATGAAAATTCTTAAGCTATATGCTAGAGTATAAAAGTAATTGTGAATTGAAAGATCCAACTTTGACTTCATGAATATGTAAATATGTAAATTTTGTATCTCCTAAGATACACGGTGCCATTGGGTATACTTGCATTTTGCTAATTTTTGGTTCTAGTTATTTAAAGTTGACAGAGAGGTTTAAAATTTAAACTGTGACCCAACTTTTTACCTGTAGGATTGAATCTAAAGGGATCAAGTATTCTGCAGATTCAGAAATGCCAGAATTCAAAGCACTCTGTGTTATGACTAGAAGGGTTTAAATGCCAAAATTCTGTATTTTTGTTTATTGTCAGAGCATGATAGATCAAACATAAACAATTTTCTTTCAAAAAAGGAACACATGTTAATATTATATATATTTTCTCTTCATTTTCAACTAAAAGTAACACAGGCTGTTGACACAACCCCTGGAAGTAGATGTTACTTCCAATCCTTGCTTTATGATTGGTTGAAAAATTTCACTGAGTCTACCAGGCTACCTAGCGGCAGTTATATGCTATAAGTGATGCTGCCTTTTCCAAAAGCATTGAGTTGCAAACATATGATTGCTATGAGACAAACAGGTATTGTACTAAAACATTATCAAATCTGACTGGCTAGGTGTTCCTGTCACTATTCACAGCGGTCTTTCTAAACGTCACCAACAAGTGACAGTTGTTCAATAATCAAGAAACAGACCTATTTAGGGAAACAAGCTAAAGCTTATAAAAGCATGTAACTGTAAGTTCAAACTTTACATACACGTGTATTTATTGCTGTCTGTTTATGCATTCTGGGTCCTTCTGTCAATATTTGTATTTCATTCAATTCAGGGGCATATCCTTCTTTGATCTGAATCACAATTACAACTATGAAGATACTGTGTTTACATTGGATTGGAAAAACTAACAATGCCACATTTCAATAGATTGAAAATTTAACATCAAAGTATTAAAAAGGCATGTTTGAAATGGATTGTTCAGGATATTTTTTGGGCTATTATTACACTAGATTGATTTTGTCTCATCTTATTTGCAATCTGACAAACGATCTTCCATAAAAAACCTGTTTCTGAAATATTGTGTTTGCTTTATAAAAGTTTTAAGTTGGTTGGAATTAAAAATGCTTTGATCAACATTCACCAAGATTAACATTAAAGGGAAAACTTTGATGGACATTCACCAAGATTAATGTTAAAGGGAAAACTTTGATGGACATTCACCAAGATTAATGTTAAAGGGAAAACTTTGATCGACATTCACCAAGATTAACATTAAAGGGAAAACTTTGATCGACATTCACCAAGATTAATGTTAAAGGGAAAACTTTGATGGACATTCACCAAGATTAATGTTAAAGGGAAAACTTTGATGGACATTCACCAAGATTAATGTTAAAGGGAAAACTTTGATTGACATTCACCAAGATTAATGTTAAAGGGAAAACTTTGATGGACATTCACCAAGATTAATGTTAAAGGGAAAACTTTGATGGACATTCACCAAGATTAATGTTAAAGGGAAAACTTTGATGGACATTCACCAAGATTAATGTTAAAGGGAAAACTTTGATGGACATTCACCAAGATTAATGTTAAAGGGAAAACTTTGATGGACATTCACCAAGATTAATGTTAAAGGGAAAACTTTGATGGACATTCACCAAGATTAACATTAAAGGGAAAACTTTGATGGACATTCACCAAGATTAATGTTAAAGGGAAAACTTTGATGGACATTCACCAAGATTAATGTTAAAGGGAAAACTTTGATGGACATTCACCAAGATTAATGTTAAAGGGAAAAATTTGATGGACATTCACCAAGATTAATGTTTAAAGGGAAAACTGTGATCGACATTCACCAAGATTAATGTTTAAAGGGAAAAATTTGATGGACATTCACCAAGATTAATGTTTAAAGGGAAAAATTTGATGGACATTCACCAAGATTAATGTTTAAAGGGAAAAAAATTATCGACATTCACCAAGATTAATGTTAAAGGGAAAACTTTGATGGACATTCACCAAGATTAATGTTTAAAGGGAAACTTTGATTGACATTCACCAAGATTAATGTTTAAGGGAAAACTTTGATGGACATTCACCAAGATTAATGTTAAAGGGAAAACTTTGATGGACATTCACCAAGATTAACATTAAAGGGAAAACTTTGATGGACATTCACCAAGATTAATGTTAAAGGGAAAACTTTGATGGACATTCACCAAGATTAATGTTAAAGGGAAAACTTTGATGGACATTCACCAAGATTAATGTTAAAGGGAAAACTTTGATGGACATTCACCAAGATTAATGTTAAAGGGAAAACTTTGATGGACATTCACCAAGATTAACATTAAAGGGAAAACTTTGATGGACATTCACCAAGATTAATGTTAAAGGGAAAACTTTGATGGACATTCACCAAGATTAATGTTTAAAGGGAAAAAAATGATCAACATTCACCAAGATTAATGTTAAAGGGAAAACTTTGATGGACATTCACCAAGATTAATGTTAAAGGGAAAACTTTGATGGACATTCACCAAGATTAACATTAAAGGGAAAACTTTGATTGACATTCACCAAGATTAATGTTAAAGGGAAAACTTTGATGGACATTCACCAAGATTAACATTAAAGGGAAAACTTTGATGGACATTCACCAAGATTAACATTAAAGGGAAAACTTTGATGGACATTCACCAAGATTAATGTTAAAGGGAAAACTTTGATCGACATTCACCAAGATTAATGTTAAAGGGAAAACTTTGATGGACATTCACCAAGATTAACATTAAAGGGAAAACTTTGATGGACATTCACCAAGATTAACATTAAAGGGAAAACTTTGATGGACATTCACCAAGATTAACATTAAAGGGAAAACTTTGATGGACATTCACCAAGATTAACATTAAAGGGAAAACTTTGATGGACATTCACCAAGATTAACATTAAAGGGAAAACTTTGATGGACATTCACCAAGATTAACATTAAAGGGAAAACTTTGATTGACATTCACCAAGATTAACATTAAAGGGAAAACTTTGATTGACATTCACTAAGATTAACATTAAAGGGAAAACTTTGATTGACATTCACCAAGATTAACATTAAAGGGAAAACTTTGATTGACATTCACTAAGATTAACATTAAAGGGAAAACTTTGATTGACATTCACCAAGATTAACATTAAAGGGAAAACTTTGATTGACATTCACTAAGATTAACATTAAAGGGAAAACTTTGATGGACATTCACCAAGATTAACATTAAAGGGAAAACTTTGATGACATTCACTAAGATTAACATTAAAGGGAAAACTTTGATTGACATTCACCAAGATTAACATTAAAGGGAAAACTTTGATTGACATTCACCAAGATTAATGTTAAAGGGAAAAAAATTATCGACATTCATCAAGATTAATGTTAAAGGGAAAAATTTGATCGACATTCACCAAGATTAATGTTTAAAGGGAAAAAAATGATCAACATTCACCAAGATTAATGTTAAAGGGAAAACTTTGATTGACATTCACTAAGATTAATGTTAAAGGGAAAACTTTGATTGACATTCACCAAGATTAATGTTAAAGGGAAAACTTTGATCAACATTCACCAAGATTAATGTTAAAGGGAAACTTTGATCGACATTCACTAAGATTATCTCCTAAAGGGAAAAATTTGATCGACATTCACCAAGATTAATGTTTAAGGGAAAAATTTGATTAGTGTTCACCAAGATTAATGTTAAAGGGAATACGTAGATTAATGTTCAGCAAGATGAATGTTCTGCACTTAAGTAGGTGAAAATCTAATTAATTTCAAATTGACAACACTATGATAGCCAGTTTCTAGTGAAACCATTTTAACACGATCACTTTGCATTCAGACAAAACTCTTCTATTCTTTTGCATCTTTTTGTAGCTGCAAAACTGATATCAATGTATTGTTACCTTTTATTAGACTTAAATATGAACGCTTTATAAACATTTGTGTCTGTGTATCATATCCACTGATGGTATGCTAATTTTTATGAAAGATTATCATTGAATCGAAATATTGCCAACATAGTATTGATGAAAATCCAATTGAATATGTGATTGTGGATGTTGTTTGGAATAGTGTTTTGAGATGTTATGTAGAGCTTGGTTGATGAAGATGGTAGAAGTACATTTTGTTTGTGGTTAAAGATCCATGTAGTTTTAAACATAATGGTCACTGACTTTTTTCCACAGTTTAAGTGTAAAATGATGTGAGTAGATATCAGTGGGTCTGGTAAATATTCTTCACAGGCAGATCTATAATGTAGTTTTAAAAAACGCAATGCTGAACATGTATATGAGAACCTGAGTGCGTATACGGTATCAAGTCACAATCGATGGTATATGAGGTGTTTCTCATGATCAGACACCTAGTTTACCTTGTTATTCTTTACATTAATAAATGACACCCTAATGGTATAAAAACACTGTGAGTAAGGTCTGGTATGGTAAAGATATGTAATATTTAATGCATTCAGTGATAGTACCAAGGTCCCATTTCACATCTATTAGGTCTCCTGTTAGTTATTTGAGCTTAAATTCTCTGTGCTTTTACTTTTCCCGTTCAATGCACCAATCTTTATAGTTTGATTCAAGGTTTGTAACCTTTCAAGAGAAGTACAGACTTCCCCTGTGAATATTTCAAATAAAACCCAAGTCCTTCATCATTTATGTATTTTATTTCATCCTACAGAGTTTACTATCCATTCACAACATGAATAACAATTAAATTAAAACGTGCAATGATGAAATCCTCATGGATAAAGAGGATAAACAGTATGAAAGACAACAGGCATTAAAAATCAACATTTTAAGATTTTGTGAACATCAATTTTCTCATAATTAAAAAAATTCTGCCCAAAATAAATTATTACAATGATGTCTACTTTTAAAAAAATTTACAACATTAACAGGATGGAGAATGAAAATAGCAAACCACAATTCAACTTATTCAGTGCAGCAATTTGAAATGCGAACAAATATTATATAAATCATCTGTCCTAAAGTCCTGCATTTTGTTTTTTATTAAAACACACAAAACATTATATAATTCATTTACAAATTACTAAGCAACCATATTTGTTGATAAGGAAAAACTCATGATATGATGACCACAATCAATTTCACTGCTTCGGTCTGTCAGTCAGAGAAAATCTCTCTAAATGGTGATGAGATTTTCGTTCAAAGGCCTGCATCGATTTAAATACAGTAGGCTCATGTAAACCTCTTGTTTATATCAATTGGAAATTTTAGTAGTCAACATCTTTCACTTTTTTCCTCGTCACCATCAGTAATAATATTTAACTGTCAGAGGGTTTCTCATGATTAAAGATGTAATATTTCACCATTTAACAACTTCATCACTATCTTCTGGTAGTAACACATTCACAAATGGTGATGGAGAGAATGAAAAAAATTGTTGTTGTCATCTGGCAAAGGATTTCTTTGAGAGTTTTGAGATGTATGTTGTGAAAAGAAATATGGGTTCCATTACGATTAACAGCAGATGTGATTGGAACTAATAAGTGTGACATGATGTGTTTGGCATTACCAGGTGTTAGCATGTTATTAAGTCTGTCTCACAAGTACAAAAAAAAATGTATGCTCCTTCAAGTTAATCAATTTAAAAAAATGTATTTGGAACAAGAGTATTTTGGTGCATATGAAATTTGCTAGGATCACTGTTACCATATAATATTTAACATTTACGTTGTAACACATTTGCAGAGAGAAACATCTTTCGTTGGGAGTATGTATGAATTTTAAATCAGCCAAAAATGTAGTATATCAATTGCTGAAAAAGTTGTATCTTCCCTTCCAAAGATTTTTGAACTTCTAACTAGCCAAATTTTAAACTTTGTCCGGTAAATTGTAATTGCAGAGCAAAATGATATCATAACAGATATGTTTGTGACAGGGTCTCCATTTCAGAACTGAAAATGTTGACAATTTTTCATTTATGTTAAACAGATACTGTAAGATAATTATTTTTTAGAGGGATTTAATTGTCTTAGATTTTGTGGGTTATTTTTAATGTTATGCATTCTCAGACCATTAAAATTAGTGGAGTAGATTTATTGTGCTATGTCAATCCACAAAATCAAGTATCCATGAAATAGTGATGATAATAAAACCTGGAAATTTAGCCCCACAAAATATATGGTTTTACAGAACAATATCTTCTTTTGTAATAAAGACATTTATCGAATAATCCAGTTATAGATTTTTGACCGTATCACCCAAGCAAACAAAAGGTGTTCATATAGGTGACTACTCTATATAGTTGAGGACACTGCTGCAAACATACCTATAATTATATCAGTGATCTTATCTGATCAGAATGGACACTCCAGGTATTCTAGTGAACTTGTGTAAAGTAAATGTATTTTTGGTACTTTAACAATCAGATCCGACTACTGCCAAATTAAAGACTGAGACAGAAGAACACCTTGAGGTGATAATAGTTTTATGTTTCAGAATCAATATTTAACAGATGTATACTTTTTCTATGATACAAACTAATGTCAGTTAATTTCATATATTTTTTTTATTTAAACATATTTTATTGTATCAATATATACATTGGGATTGGGCACAAGTTGGCCAACATATTTCATATATGCTGATGACTTCCCAAAGCATTGTAAATTACTGTACTTATTGCTGTCCTATCATCCCTTATATACATCAGGTAATTGATATAGTGCTATGGCAATGTGTCCTTTTAAATGGAAACTCATTATTAGTGCCTTTTTTTCTGTTTTGGCGACCTGCTATGCAGAATTCTATTAGAACTGCCAATACATATAACAACGTGGCATTTATAAATATTTCAAAAGCACATTAAGAGTCTATCCAGTGAATGATCATTTGTAATAACCATGGTCTAAAGAATCCAGCTGTCAGACTAAAATATGACATTCATGTGAATTATGAAGCGCTTATTTTATCTTCATAGACAGGGTACTACGGTACAGTTTCAGTATATCTGTATTTTATCAGAGGTGGTTTATATATGGAAAATAAATATCGTAATGTTAATTCCTATTTCTTTAATGTGTATTGTATATATTTGACAATATTTTCTGGTCTATGTGGTAATTCTCAGGCCAACCCTACCATGTTTTGTTAATTTTCATGATCAAACAAATTATTCATGTGTATGTAAAAGCAGCGCCTGTTTGATAAGCTCAATTTTTTTTTTCATTATGGATGACATGCTTGTTCGAGCATGTATCAATTTTTCACCTCCATCCTGGATACAGTTTGTGTCGGTTTTCCAGACAAGTGCTGTCTGAACACTTCTACAATCACCGGCTTGTCTATCTCTAGTAGATATAAAGGCAAGTTCTTTCCAACATCGAATCAGCAACTGTAATACCCATTAATAAATAAATACATTCATGTATCTAGCTACTAGCTACTGTAGTGACAGATAAGGGATATATCAATATTTGTTAATCTTTCTTAAAGGAAATTGATGAAATCAGAAATAAATAAATGAAATAAAATCAAAGTTCTAAAGCGCCATGGAACACTTCAGTGCTGTCTTTCATTATTTTAAGATGTTACACTTCCTCAAGTCTGGAATCTTTGGATTATTAGTAAGAAATTTGACATTTTGAGTATAGGGTTTCATATTTTGTATTATATCAAGTGTCCTACCTCCCGCATAGCCACATACTAGCCTATTAGTCATGTTGTCTGTGGCCAGTCCGTAGGCGTCAAGGTTTTTATACCCACCGTGAAATTGCTTTGTCATAGCCATACAAACTTTAAACTCACTCTATAGTAAATCCAGTAAAGCTGGCGAGCTAATGGTGTAAAACGGGTTGTACCAGTGAATAGATAAACACCTAATTTTCAAGCTCTTTAAAAGGAATGAGAGATGACAAAATAATTGTATCTTGGCAACAGAGACTGATTATTAAGTACATGCGAATTAAGTACATGAGTTGGAAACAAAACCTTAGCACATTCTACAAAACCTTAGCACATTCTAATTCATTGGTATCGACATGCATTGTTTTAACTGGAATGGTATCTTGTTCTCATGAAAGTAAAGTGCAACAATTTGACATTGTACAGAATCTTTTTCAACCTTGTCAGCTACAAGTTAGAATATACAGCAAATCTTTTCATGGCATGCTTACGGAGATGGGATTTACTTGAATGAGAACGATACTTAATTTCATCTTAAACTCTACTTATTCAAGCAGACAAAAGAATATTGGAAAACAGTCTCAATATAGGGTTGTCATCTTGCCCTGCTGTCGTATCGAGAAGCATACTTAGGTGTTCCATATCGTCTTGTCGATGACACAGATGTGTTAATAGACATGACAGATCTTGATGTCACCCGAACAGCTGATGGAGACACTACCGTACGTACCGGCGAACGAGATCGTCTTGGAGGTAGGGTTGGGGTCACTGTTCGTCTGTCCCAGTCTGGCGTAAAAGGGGGTACAGAAGGGGTGTCCATTACTCGGACAGGAACTGGTGGAGGAGTGACTCTATTCTTTTTGTCTGGCTCAATGTCTTTGGATTTGTAGTGTTTCATATCATGCATAAGCAGGAATCCTGCGACGGTGAGGAGGAGCAATCCTGCAAAAACCACCAATCCAAAGGACCAGGAGACGAAGAAGTTGCTGGGCAACTGGGTAAACCATATGATCATCATGATGAAGGATAATACAGCTGGGAAAGAAAAGAAAAGAACACATTTGAGATGAAAGAGAAGATATGTGAACTTATCTTAATAGTCACACTTTTGCCATTTAATAAATTTGTAAAAAATTTTAAAGAAGTATCGGTCATTTTTTTTTTATTTGAAGTGATATAAATTAGGATTTACTCCACTGTCTTTGAATACAGTCTTGTAAATTAGAACAGCTAATGAGTACATTAACTCTTCTACCCACAAATGAAATGTAAATGCCGCGATACAGATGAATGAGATACTTGAAGTATATATAAAATTTTCTAGCAGAGGTAGATACAATTTTCATTTAAATGCAACTGGTAAATACTAGCTGCAATATACTGCTCGGCTAGGGATCCCTGGTTCAATTCCTAGTAGAGGCATTGAAATAAAAAATAACCTCTGTTACATAGGTGTCCATGTAGGGACCTGGGGATAGTACTTTCCGATGCTCCAACAACATAGTTGTAACCCCTGGAAACTTGTTGACAAGGTATTTCCAGGAGGGAGAAATATATAACCCTGGTAAACACTAGCTGCAGTATACCCTTTGCTAGAGAGAACTTCTCTTTAGCTTGATCGGTTGAGCATCAGACTAGTAAGCCAGGGATCCGGGGTTTGATTCCTAGCAGAGGCATTGAAATAAGTAATGACCTCTCTTACGTAACTACCATATAGCTGGTAATTTTTATAGTAAAATTTTGGTGATTTTCTTATAAAACAACCTAATATTTTATCAAAAATAACCGACTGAACAGTATTATTTAAAAGGATAAGAGAACAAAAAAAAGGATACACCTACCTCCAGTAAAACATAATACTATTATTGTCATGGCAACGCCTCTCTTTCGGACACTCACTGTGGCCACGTACATTATGTACAAGGGGAATATGATAGCCATAATTCCTATAATAATGGATGCCATTATTTTCACCGCATTGTGGTTACCTGTAAAGTTAAATATCATAATTAAGCATATATTTATTACATATATTGTTTTCAAACAGTAGCACTGACCATCGTTATTTGGGACCGATACTGAATTACCATATAATGATGCAACATTGTTTTGTTTGGTAAATGAAATCAACTTTTGTCTGTATAACCATGATATACCATTTGTGAATTTCTTAGTTACATTATAAACCCCTGATTACGATTTAAATGATGTGTGTGGGTCCGCTGAAAGACCAAAATGCCGTAATAGTGGACATCAAATTGGTGAAATAGATAGTAAAGGATGTCAGTGACACCGACAAATACTTATCATAAGGTTATTGTGTCAGTGACATGAAAATGTATGCTATCGCAAATATCCGTTTTACTCATTACGCTTCCGTAAATCTTCCGTAGAAACTTCTGTAAAAACTTCAGTAAATCTTCAGTAAAAACTTCAGTAAAACTTCAGTAAAACCCAGTGATATGCTGTCTTGACAGGAGGTTTACTGGTTGGGAATCTTAAAAATTAAATGTTGCGTTTATGATGATTGTTTTCTTTTAAAATTTGTAGATTTAATGTCACATTTTTTGTGCTGCAAGTAGCCTTTAAATTTTGTAAATTCGTAGATTGTATGGTCTTTTGAATTAGTAAAAGCAGAACTTTTTATATCAGTCTTACTAATCATACCCATGTTAAGTAAGGTATTTGACTCTGAAATCTTCCCACATTTTGTTTAGCTTTGTGTTTTAGCTATGAATTCATATTCAACACAAAACAGCCGAAAGATCGTAATGTGTATTTGTCATGGAAGTAGACCTATTGTGTGCGTTTTGAACAGAAGGTTTATGAGGTATTCATCCTGAATGCATTTAAAATGTACATTGTTCACGTAGAAATTTAAACTTAATTTTACTGTTTGCTAAACAGATGCACAATTACATGAGGTAAATAGCTTGTTAAACTCTCACATAATAATTTAATTAATATTGCGTTTTTCGATGAACTTTTTTGCTGTGTGTTGTTGTCACCGGTCTTCTTTTTGCTTACATCATTTATTTGTTGAAATTTTAAAAGTACATCATTATACCCCATGCAAAGAGGAAAAGAAAGTTTTTAAACTCTTATTAGTATTATTACTACAAGGATGAATGATTTTTGTATATAGAAATTAAATGCAGATCTTATAAACATATTTCTGTTGTTTTCAAGCGGAAATCATGATTAAAGGCAGTGAAATGCATAACCATGCTGGGTTAACATTTTCGTCAACGATAATGTGGCGAGCTTATATCTTGGCGCAGCATAAGACTCCCTGTTGATCAGTCAATGTTTGCATGTCCAATTTGAATGGATTTCATCTGAATTATTTTCTTCAGAGACAAAATAGCCAGGACCATTTAGCGGTTGCATAGAAATTGCATTCCTACATAACACTTGCTGTAAACTGCATTCCAAGTTTTAATTCATTCGAACACTTACACAGTTCAGGATATACATATGTACTTTACACTATTCGAAAAATTGTCTGATTTAAAAAAATCATGAAATTTATTTACTTATGGGGCTGCTGCACCTCCAAGGATAAAGTTTGTCTAGATTTTTACTTTTCTTTCGATCACTTTGAATTTTCTTCAGTCACCTCCTAGGCTTCAAAAATTAAACCCTTAGCATCACTGTCAAGCAGTAGGGGAAGAAACAGCTGTATAATCCTGTTTAATTCATTGTTTCATTAAGAGGTGCTATTCACTTGTGTGTCTTTTGTTCAATCATTGAAGAAAATGTCACTTAAACAAGACAATCAAATTGTGTGTGAAAATAAAATAAGTTTCTAAAAACTCACTAGTTACAAAGAAATTAACCAACAATGATGAGCAGGATTTCACCAATGTTGACCTTTAGATGACCAATACTTTATCAGTGTTGACCAATAATTGATCTCATTACTGACCACTGTGTTTACACCGAATATTTCTATGTGCAAGATAAAACTGGATGCTTACCCTTCTGGATCACCTGGTCTTATTTTCCTAGTACTTTTTCAGGAGTATCCATGCATTTTTTTGTTTGTCCATATTTTGCCCTAAATTTATTAAATTTGAGTTCATGACTGCTTTTACAACTACGACCTTTATTTCAGTTTGTTAACTATTTTGTTAAGGCCTATGACTGCTAGTGACTACTCGGTCATTTAATAACCTTCCCAGATAACTGACCATCCTCTTGTGGTCACCCACTTCTGACCACTGCTGTTATATTGTACCATTTTCAGCCACATTTTGACCACTTGTTGACTGCTAATAGCCACTACTTGGACTCTGGTGACTTGTAGGAATTAGTACTGACCATGATGACTGTTGAACAGCACATGTTGTATTAAGATTTTTTTTATATTGAGGAAAATAAATGAGATTGTATGAGAATTTTGAATGTCAAAGTAACACTTTTTACAACAAATTTTCTGCAGACTTTTAAAAATAGGATGTTGGTCAAGGTGTCTTGTTCATGTGACAAGACTTGTGAATGTTTTATACTGACTTTCTGTTGTGTTAGAATGTATACTGCTTAGGAGTATATAAATCGCAACAAACCAGGGACATTTTCATTTTTTCTGTCAATTTATTGGTCAACCAGTTTTGCCCCGGATCAGGCTTCATCGGTACAATTTAGTTACACAATTCTTCCCCTAAAGTATTAGAATTGTGGGTAATTTTCTCGTGTGACGTGCTATAATAGCCTATTTTTGTTATACCCGATAACTGTTGAAAATGTGGGATAACTGTGGCATAATGGTTTTCATTCATGGTTATAAAGTTAGTAAATATTTATAATTAAAATGTATTATCATATTGTACCTTATTGACAACTTTAAATAAAACAGTTCATAATTCACAATTCAACATTCAAAATGGTCTTTCTTCCAAGCATACAGTGGAGAAGGATTCTGAAATATATCTTAAGTCTCTCGGTAATTCATTTCATCCTTGGTATCGGACATATTTGCTAACTTGTCTCTAGTTTATTGCGATTGATGTATGCATTTTGGATTTGCCCTTAATCTCCTTTCACATGTATACTATTTGATATCCAGACGAAAGACACCCGGGACCTACCTATCCACCACCTCTCATCCCTTGGACTGCGTTGATTATGATTTTATCTGTTGACCTGGTTTTTTAATGATGATTAGTGTAAACATTTGAATTTAAAAGAGTACATGGTAATGATATTTGTCAAGTATGTTTAATTCTATAGTATTCATTCCTCTAATTATGAATCATAACTGGTATTTTCATGCAGTTTTTGTTGTGTTATCAGTCGTGATATTTCTACTTTTTAAATGTTCAGTATATTCTATAACAACCATATATAGGTTAATGCTCGTAATTATCTTTAGACTTTCAATTGAAGTAAGTTTTACAATTGAGACCTCCATGTACTGAGACCAGATTGACCCTGTTTTTAAAAATGAGAAATACTTAGTACTATGACATATTTTTCTAATGCTTCAGTGAAAATCAGCCATTTATGGACTTTTGTCCCAACATTGTGATGATGTGGGCCGGAGATCAAGTCTTTGAGTAAGATAGAATGAAAGTTAATATAGCTTTTCAGGTCTATTTGATTGAGTTTTCACTTAAAAGAAAGCCATAGCTGTAAATTCATATTAGAAATTATGCATTCTTAATCACACAAGGCTGAACAGGTTTCACCAATTTTGAACGTCATTGACCTGGCGAGTCTGAGAAAGACGAAACAGCTATATGATGTATATTTGGCCCTACTCTATTCACTTGTATGACTTTTGTACAACCTAACCAGCATCAGACACGTCCAGCTTCATCAATGAAATCACTATGACGACCATAAAACGTCCCCATATTTTTCATCAACTTGCATTTTCTGAAACCCTGTGTTACGACTTTGTCAGACAGTTGACAATTTCTTACATGAAAATTGTGATAATTAGGACAGGCCCTTGAATATCAAATCAACTACGACTTGTAAACACCATAGGTTGGGGATGCAGGAATGTTGCTATGCAGATATGGAAAATTGAAGTCATACATATATCATAAGGTCATTAATTAACCTAACGAAAACTGCAAGTACTTTCAAACGAGCCTTCTCACCCATGCCTTGAGCATGTGAGCAAAGCATGGGCACATTAAAATGTTAAAAAGTCTTAAAAGTAATTATAGGTTGTACTATTAAACAAAAATTGGTAATATTATCACTTCACTTTTCCAAAGATTGATGTGATATTAACAAACTGTCTTCTTGTATACTGCATGCAGTGAGGTCGTGGGAAAACATCAAACTTTTGGTTTGTAATTCCGGAATTGTAAATACAAATTGACATTAATGAACAATCAATCTGTTTACCATCTCCTTACACTGTTTTGTACCTTAGTGTATACAACATCTCGTACACTATGTACGTTAGTGCTAGTATTACACTTCACACTGGTCTTTTCTCTGAACATCACACTCAGATCTTCTACTTGTTGTGTAATAAGAAATTGTATTCTATTGACATTACCAACTTGAACAAAATTATCAGAAACATACATGCGTTTCATTTTCTGTATGTTTCTTTGTTGTGATATAAATCTAATGTCCGGTTACATAGTCAGTGATATATATACCACCAGTTCTGATGTGACAACTAATTGTTCAATTTTGGACCAGAACAAAGCATCACCAAATAACATTGTGTACAATTAAGCCGTGATTCTATCCTTTTATCCAATCACAATTATATTAAATACGTCCTTGATTAAAAAACATAAACAAAACATGAATTACCCTCCATCTTTGTTGCAATAGCAGTTTCTTGCTGTTTTTGTTTTGTTTTGTTACTGTCCATTTCTGTAATAACCTGATAATGCCATGCTATGACTCGAGAGAGACTTTTAACTGTTCTCATACTAACAAAATTTATTACATAGCCCCCTACATCACATGACATATTTTTGTTATGTTTGGCATGTGTCAATTTGATCAGTTT